TTGGTGGATACTAGAATATAGGAGTTTATAAATAATTCCTTTTGTGTGTAAAATGTGAATTACAACAGCCAAAATCTCTTTTCCAGTACAGTTACCAGCAGTTGCTATAAATGAAGAAACTGGTTTAGCAGAAGTTAACTTAAAACAGAAGACTCCTTTGAATATCAGGAAGTATCCAGTTGCTACATCGTTTGCTATATTTGATGAGTAAGTGGGTAACTCTTGGTAAAATGTATACTATGAAAAAAATTATGGAGTGGCAAATAGTGATGGAAAGCCAGATGATCTTGTTGAGAAGCTGCTGAAGAATCCATATGCAGTTTTGCCACTGAACCCATGCAAACTGACATTTATATCTGGCATTACATCTGTAACTTAAATTCTGGGCTATGTTAAACTCTTGCCTGCTTTATAACAGCAGCAGATGTTCAGTAGAACTATCAAAGTTCTTCAGTTCTCTGAACCAGAATCTGGCTCCCTGGATTAAATGGATTCTGACTTCACAGGTTAATCACTCTGAAAGTATTTAAGTATTGAAATTTACTTAAATATTAGTTGTAATTTCACTGTTATAGTTATCTAATACTTTTCATCCCAAAAAGCTTTACCAATACAAACATTAATAAACACTACATCCACAACCAAAATGGAGCCAACTTTAGTGTAAAAGGTGTAATTTTTTTCACTAGCTCATAGTACTAGTGAAACCGGAATTTCAGCAAGTTAAGAATATCTAAGAGTTGAGAGAGAGAATGCAGTAACTTGCTTGGAAATATAGCAAGCTATCCAAGTTAGCATCCTTACAGCTAAAATGGTCTGGCATTATCAAGCTCTTCATTCTGAAATTTGACTCTCTACTTGAAATCCTTCATTTGGGTCCCCTCCCCCCACTAGAATTCATAGGAATTGGAAGCCATACTGATTTTTTTTTTTTTTAATTTTTCTGAAACCCCACCCAGTGCATTTAAGTGCTGCTGATGTTGTGAACACTGTCTGCATGCCTATTTGTAGTGTTACTATCATTTTTAGCAGTATCCATTTAAAATGCAAAATGGCAAATTTATTTGTATGATATAAACTCAAATATACTGAAAAATTGGAATATTGATGTAAATGAGATGGTTAGAGTAGCTTTGTAGAAAAACTTAATGGGTACTTCTAGGGCCCTGGTACATATTACAGATATAGTGGCATGATCAGTGTGTTAATTGTGCCATAAAAGGCAGTGGTGCTACACATGCACCCAGTTTTAAGGCACCTGGCAAACCAGGCATAAAAATGTTCCATATATATAATCCCACCAGGGTTGCTGAACCCTTGAGATCAGAAGCTCCTTGTGGGGGAAGCCAGGGAGTTTAAACCCCATGCCCAACAGCTCTCATGGTGCTGCTGGCCAGACTCATGATTCTTGGGGCTGGGGATCAGATGCTGTTGCACAATAATCTTAGCAATCAGCAGCCTTAGTCACACATTACTTTGGCAAACAGAGAAGAACACAGAATATGTAAGTTGCTGAATAAATGACAGTTACCAAAGGAAATCAGAAGATGTGGAAGTCAGTATCTTATCACATCAGTACTTTCTGGAATATTTTTGCTGTTTAATTGCCTTTCTAATAAAATGGATAAATTAATTGGATCTCTGCACACTTAACATTCAACTGATTAATTGCAGTTGTACTAGCATATGAACAATATCTGAAAGACTTGATGTTGATTTTTCCAGTGGCAGTCGGGAACTCCATTCAAGCAGCTATGGTAAAATGCATCTACTTCCAAGAATTGTTATTTTGCATTAAACAGTCATGGGACTAAAAGAGCAAGTAATCCTGGAGGCAGGACCCAGGAGTCTCACATCTGAGCAGAAGGCCTTAATTACGAGGCAACTGTCAGACTTCTTTTTGCTTACACTCCTGGTCCTATGCCATACCATTCTTCATAGGGGTGCCTTCACCCAGGCGGGTTTATCCCAGGGTGTTGGGGCACTTCGCTGGGAAGTGGGTGATGTTGGTTTAAATAATCTTGGGCTGAGCGAGGAACTGAGCCCATGTTCCCGTTCCTGGGCAAGTGCTTTTACTGTGCTATTTATATACAAGATGGATTGTAGTAACCAGCCCCATCTGTGTTTTAAAAAGAAGGCATGACAGCAGTTTAGGAGGAGCCCAATCCGATTGGTGTGGTAGGTGTTGTAGCACATGTACCAGATTAGGCATTTTAGGGGACTTAGTTGTCACTTTGTCTAACTTCTGGATCTGCATGAGGTTTTGGGTAAGCACTGGAAAGCAGCAAGGAACAGAAGGGACACCCTTCTTCGTGCATTAGGGGCTTGAGAAGGGTGGAATAAGATGATACTTAGGTACCTAATAGATGAAGGAGGATTGGCCTTGGGCACCTCCTGTGCAGAACAGGGGTCAAAAGAATCTTCAGTTCAAATAGGAAGGTACCAAATTACTTGAGATGCTCCAGGATTAGGCCATAGCTGAGTGGGGATTTTTTTTTTAAATTTGTTTTTTTGCATCTCTTCTGCACTTAGGGTTCTGCATAGATCCTATTTTTAGGTGCCTAAGCCCCTTTTTGTATCTATCTTAAACTTCTAAATTCAATTATCAAAAGTTATTTATATTTAGTTGCTTAAATCACTAGATAATGGAAGCTGGAAGTTAAAGCACATAGATACTTTTGCAAACTTTCTCCATAATGTAGAATAAACTCTTTGGCATGAAGGGCATGATTCTGATCCCACTGAAATCAGTTGAAACAGAAGTGGGTTCATACGTTTTCCTAATTATTTTTAACTAGGTGTGTACTGGTCCCCATGCTTTCAGTTCTGGAAATATGCCAATAGTTTTTCTTTACAGTTGTTTACCCTGGATAAATGTTTGTGAAGCTCAAAATTAAAGAGACTGTTTCTTTCCAACATATAAATGTAGAAATCTGTTCTGTTCATCAGGAGTTTGTCCAAATATGAAGTATTTATAGTGTGCTGGATTACTTCTCAGTATTTTCTTTTTCAACAGTAAACGGGCACTGTGCAGAGTTCATCATAATAAAACAGCAGGATGGTAAAGGTTCTAAAGCTACCTGTAAAGCAGTGTAAAATGTTTTTGTGTATGCACAGCTTAACTGAACTTCAAATTTGCTTGTCCTCTTAGACATATTTATTACATGCAGCCTTTAAATACCAATGCTCAAAGCGTTTTAAGTACATTTTAGATAAAGGGTTTTATGTACATTGTACATAAGCAGTAAATAAGAAATCTTTGGACGGAAGGAATGCTGTGCAAAACAGCAATAATTTTGTTAGTGTTGTGTGAACACATCCATTGGCAGAGGAAAAGCTGACAGTGGAGGTGTGGAAGTAGCTGGTTACATCAAATTAATCTTTCCTCATTTCCTAACAATTGGCTCTCATGTATAATATGCTGCTGCTGTTTCGTTCTTAATTAGCTGGGACTAGCAGGTGCAAGGGATGGCAGTAGATGTTTTAATATTGCAAATAGCAGCTTCAAGACCATTTTGCTGGTTACTCAAGTTCTGACAACCTTTTATACTTTGGCAGTTTTAAGTGAAACAATCTAAGATGCAAGCCTATTCTGGAGCTTAACATAGTTCTGTATTGGTCTGCATTTTCTGTTCCTTAAATGAGTGTGTGTTTTGATGAGGGAACCGTGGATATTACAGTGCTTGTAGCAGCACTAAACTTGGCTATAATACATTTGGTTTAAAATATTTTTATAAAGCTAGCTGACGTAATTAAATTTACCATTGTCGTCTTTGTGAAAATCCAGTAATTTGCATACAAATAAGACATCTCTGTTGTTTTTTTTTTCTTTTTAAAAGCACATTACTCATTGTTGATCCAACTGCAGAAGAGGAGGATCTGGCAACTGGAACTGTAACAATTGTAACTGATGAAGAAGGCAGGCTGTGTTCTGTTCATAAGCCAGGTACTTGGAAAAATTACTATGAGTGAATTGGATAGACAACATGTTTGTTTCCCCAAATACTTTGCACTCTATGCACAATCACATTCTGTATATGAATGGCTGTTTTCATAGTAACATTATGACCTTTTACACGCAGCTCCATCTTAATACTGGACCTATTAAGATAGATGCACTCTAAACATACCGTTTTTCTTCACGCACTTAATTAATTTTTTTAAAACAAATTACTGACATATAGTTTAAATTCCTTTAAAAAAATATAGCAATACTGCTTGTATACGGCTGCTGCTGCAGCAGCAAAAATATCTCGTCGTTTTCATGGTATGTTTTACCACCTTTAGCACAGACCATAGGTCTTGGACACAGGTTGCCTGCTACGGGTTGATATTTAACTTAATGAAAAAATGTATTTTGAGAAGAAATTAGACCCCTCAAGTCAGGAATAGTAACCTGCTAATTAGCAGGCATTAATATTTCCATTTAGCCAATGTTTTCAAGAAAACAAAATTGAAAACCAAACTTCTTTCACTTTTTAGGTGGAAGTCCCTTGACTGGAGCAAAACTTCAGGACTGTATTACCCGGGCAATTACAAGACACAAAGAAGTGAAGCAGCTGATGGACAAAGTGATAAAAAGCGTAAAACCACAATAAATGCATGCCAATTTCTCTTCAAAATGGATTTGTAAAAATTGTATTTGTTATAGTGTTCACAAACCTTTTATACTAAATAAACAAATACCAATACTACATTTACAAAGTTTGTTTTTGCCCTAAAATGTCACATCACCCCTGAACTATGTACAATGTTGCTGAATGGTAAAAAATACAAGGCAAAACATTTTGTTAAAAATATTAAGCGACTTCCAGAAACCAAACCCTAGCTGCTCATTAGATGAAATTCCTATTTTCCATAGGGTTGGCTTCCAGATACAGTTTACACACTTCAGTGTAATTTGAAAAGTTCATGTTCTTACCAGCGGTGTAAAACACTGATTTCTGAGCTTTCTTTCTTAAAAATAATTTGTTAAAATAAATTTTTAAATCAAAAAGACCTTTTTTTTTTTCTTTTTTTTAGATATAAAACTGCCAGGCTCAGGAGCTCGGAGGGGCTGGTGCACCTCTCTTCCTTTTACTTTTTGAGTGGCTGCCTGAATGTTGCTGATGTTGTAGGTGAGCTGCTTGTGCTGCTGCTGCTGCTGCCATAGCCGTTTGCTGCAAGAATCGCAACTGCTGCCGTGAGGGAGAAGGGGAAGGAAAAAAAGCTTGTTATATTAAATTGAGAGCTACCTTTGACCTCAAGAAGAATGACAGGAAAAAACAAGATGAGATAATTAAACTGAAGAAGCACTGGGAATGAGATCAACAAAGGAATATACCACAGACTAGGAAAATGAGTACAGTCAAGCAGCACCAGTGGCACAGAAGCCTGCTGAGGGCACTTTTAACATTTCCCAAGTAAACTTGGACAACTGGATTCAGTTTTTTGCCCTCTGTCTCTGTTGCAGTAACTGCAGTAACTCAGCAACTTCATTAAATGTCTTAGTTCACAAAAATACATGTTTTTCAGCTTAATATTCAATATGCAAAAAATATTGTCTTTTCCTCATCCATGCAACTGTATTTCTGTGCTAAAATGTTGCAATACCATACTCCACAAAAACATCTGGATATACAGCAATAGTTTATGAAAGGAATGCTTTGCCAGCGCTTCCTTCTTAACTCTACCTGTAGCTCTGCAGTTGGATTGAATTTAACTAGGTCCTTGGTACATGCTGTCACCTCAAATCCTAATGGCACCTGGCAGAGCTCATTTTAGTAACGTGCCACAAGCACTCCTTGAATGCTATCAAATCAGGAAAGTGATGGTTCAAACGTATACAAATACATTCAGTGCTCCAAGTTGAGAGAGAAATCAGTTTTAGAACTTGCAGTATTCGGTTTGCCAAAATGCAGCACTTGTTTTTAAAATCCTTAAAGGTATTAGTAAAAATCTAAAGGGCAGCAGTTTTGGCTTTGGAGCTGAGAATTGTATTTTTAATGCAATCGGAGTGAAGTTGCTGGATTACTTGTATCTGCTGCTGCTGCTGCAAGGCTTGTTGTTGTTGCTGTTGTTGTAAGGCAGAGGAGAACTGGAGTGTCTGCTGAGGAAGGCTTTGCCCAGGTCTGTTCACGGCAGAGCCAAGCTGAGACAACACTACGAAAAGGAGAAGAGGGAAAGCAGGCAGGTCAAAGAGGTTGGGTGAAGGTTTTTAGGGTTAGGAAAGAAAGACATAGGAACAGAGTGCAACAGAAACGGGATCAGCAGAATTAGTCTCAGAGTCAAATCAGAAACAGTGCAGAATAAAGTATACACAGTAAAGGCATTTGGTTAGTTAGAACATGCAATTAGATTATGAAGTGCTTGTGGACATGAAACATTGCTCATACTGGAGGTTAAAGCACAGATTAAACAGATGCTTCTTGATGAAGTTTGGTATAGAAGCTTTGTACTATTTTCATAATAATTGTCCTGAGATTTAAAGACAATATTTAATTCACTACACCTATCGCGCAGCAAGACAAAGCAGCAAAGTGCATGCTTTAAACTTGCGAGTCAGATACACTGGCAACATTTCTTATGTAAGCCACGTACTTTCAACGCTAAGTGGGTTGTTTTAACTGATGCAAGGAAAAGCTTTATATTAAACACCAAACTTCATTCCAGTATGAAATTTATCAAACCACATACTTAATATATCCACAGAAGAAATCTCAGCAAACATACCTGTTGCCTGAGGTTGCATAAAGTTCCCTACTCCAGTAAGATTAATCACAGCAGCTTGTTGCGCAGATAATGTCTGGTCTTGACTGCATGCACCTTGCTCAGACCCCTTGCAAAAATAAGTGTGATGCATAAGAACACTTAATTTGGGTTTGCATGATGTTTAATATTCCTTGTGCTGTGTATTCAACAACAGGTCTCACTCAACTTTCAGTTATGAAGCCTGTTTTACAATGATAGAAGATATTTGCCAGGATATTACAATTAGATCTTTACATTCAAAAGAATGCTCTGGTTTCCTCACAGCAATTGGTAGAAACCAGTTTAAACTAGTGGGGGCCAACCTTTTTGGCAGGTGTCTCACATCGATTCCCCTTCCCTTGCCTGATCAGCTGCTCTGCTTTCTGCTCTCAGCCCAATTCTGCTACAGTGCTGTTTGTCCCCTTCCTGGATTGCTGCGTACCATACATACAGGTTGCTTGTGCTACTTATGACACATGTACTGCAGGTTGGCCACCCCTAGTTAAGAGCCAAGTAATTAGCTGTTTTAGTTTGAAGTCATGCAGAAGGAAGGGTAAAGATGCATACTGTAGACCAGTGATTCTCAACCTGGGCCTTTCAGGACCCTGGGTTGCCTTGAGATCCTTTCAGGAGTGTTAGCAGGGTTCCATGCAATATTAGCACTTGGGTATGCATATATGGTTCGCAAGATAAACCTAATGATTTCAAATAATCTATAGTGTTAAAAAAATCTGAACTGTTATGGTCTTTCTGAGTTCTTTGCAACAGAAAAATTCTACTATAGTAAAAAAAAAAAATGAAACCAAGCTGGTATTTTCTGAAGGGTCTAAAAAAAGTTGAAAACCACTGTTATAGACTAGCTGAATCAACATAAACTTTAACAAACAACAGCTGACTTCATCAGATTTTGTCTGATATTTATAGATTAATGCTATCTGATGGAGTGAGTTCCTATGAAAGCTCATATATCTGATTCAGTTAGTCTATAAGATGCATCTTTACCCTGCTTTCTGCTATAGTTTAGTGACACATAGCACTTTATCTTCTCTTAGTCTCCCAGAACTACAGCTTCAAGCCTGGGTAGCACATGAACTTGTGAATACTTGGCCCACACGTGCCATAATTAGTAAGCTTAATTATGGACAGATCATTAACAGTCAAAGAGAAATCTGACTGAAAAATCTGCTTAAATTTTAAAATTGTGTTGCACTCACTACCTTTAATTCATAACAAATAGTAATATTCTGAAAAGTTTTTTTTTTTAAACAAAACAAATTAGCACATTTTGGATTATCCAATTATTATTCATTGGATTATTAAAACCTGATCTGATGAACCTGCTTGAAGGTCTTCTACAGCATTCATGTGGCTTGTAGTGTCTTATATCAGCACAGCCATGTCATGTATGACATGGTGTAAATAAGACTGGTTAAGTATATATTGCATGATTTGAACAAAGACCTATGAGACGTTTTATACGATAGAAAACCAACCAGGATTCCTGCTACAACTGTGAAGCCATTTGGAAAGAAGCCTTTTCTCTTTACCCCTGTTTTGGATTGCTCCTACAAAGGTCTACTTACTTGTTGTGAGGAAAAAGGGATACGTTGTTCCATATGTACATTACAATTGCTAAGAAAACCTCATCTTTGAATGGATATAGCTGTCTTTGAAGGCTTCCAAGATACTAATCTAGAGCTCTACAACATCCACCATTCCAGTTTCTCACAATAAATTAATAATGCAGCTTACAACAAAGCTTTTCACTGAACGTAGTTTTAAATAAAATGGTATTAGCCTTAAATGCTAAACAAGAAATTAATTAGGACTTAAATGCATGAGAACCTGAAGTGTGAAAAGGTAGCTACTTTTCAGTTATGCGTACTGAAAGCATTACTTATTTAAGATCAAATATCAGCATTCTAATAAAAACGCTGCTTGTTCTTGAAAAAAATTCTCTACAAAGATTAAAAACAAGAATTTTTAGGCGAAACAGACATTCCTGACACAGCCAAAAGGAGAGTTCAAAGTTCAATTTAGAATGGAATTTTTTTCACATTTCAATTCAATGTATTCTGATTTATTTCAGTGAAGATTAGTGATTTCTTAAAATCCAAATGAGTTTTAAAGTCAGGGTTACCAATCCAAGAAAATTCTTTTTAATGATAATCTGCAAATTTTTTACAGACAGCCAATCTTTTTTAATAATATTTTTTACCTAACATAAAGTGTGTGCAAAGTATAAAATTAGAGATTACAAGTGCAGCTCACAGGCACAAAGTACTTTAATCTCCTTCCCTACATCTCCAGAAGCCAGGGATTTTTAAAAAAATCACAGTATCATTTAACACAGACCCGCTGCAGCAGCAAAGAGCTGCTGATCCTCTCCTCCCCACTGCTTCTGCAAACCTCTCTGCACAGGAGGCAGTGGAATGTGCAGAGGGTGTGTGTGTGCCACAAGTTTGGTGGGAGGGAGGGGGAAATCTGAGCACAGGATGGGGACACTCCCAGCTCTGGACTCCCACCACCTTTGGACATATTCCCTGCCAACCAGGCGCACCCTTGTCTGCTCCTCTGCTGCCCAACTGCCTAAAAGCAAGTGAGGAGGAATCCCTTTTCCTGCACACGCAATAACAGAAACATTTCCAGAAATGCCCGGAAATCCCAGTAGGCAGCGTCAGGGAACCAGGGCTGCCAACCGTCTGCAAATTTTATAGACATCGAAGTATCTTCATGGATCTTATGGACAATACTAGAGGTGCACTGATACATTACTCTGATATCGAATTGGTACCAATATAAAGAAAATTGACCGTATCAGAAATCGGCCTGATGTGGCCAATAATTTGGCTGATAAATGCCCATGCATGCGCACAGCCTCAGCGCAGCACATAGGCAGCAAGGAGCACAGCCCAGCAGCTTGGAGAGCTGTGTACAGCTGGTAAGTCTGTTGCAGTGGAAGGGGAGGGAAGAGGGAAGAGGCGTGGGGGAGCAGATCAAGGCCCCCATGGTGAGGGAGCGAGTGGGGCTGGGGCAGGCGGTGCCCAGCCAGGGCAGGGCGGGGCAATGAATGGAGCTGCAGCTCATCAGACGGGTGCAGGGAAGTGGGGGATGGTTCCCACCATTGCATGCACCCCTGGATCTGTGTGAGGCGCAAGCAGGGTGGGCTGCAGCTGTGGGCTGCGTCAGGCTCTTCCCAGCACACGGGGGGTGGGTTGAGCCAGGCATGTGCTCAAGACAGGCAGCAGGAGCGCTGGGAGGGGGCTGAGGGGGGCTATAGTGAATTTTGGGGTGTCCGCCGCCCCCCACAGCCCTCCTCCCAGTGCCACCACTGCCTGCCCCAAGCGAGTCTGGCCCAGCCCCAGCCTGCTCCGTGCAGATCCAGGGCAACAAAGCCCCCCGTGTCCTCCAGGGGTGCATGCAGCAGTGGGAGACCTGCCTCCCAGACAAGCTATGGCTCTATCCCATGCCTGGCCTGCCCTGGCTGGACAGTGCCTGCCCCAACCCCTGCCCCACCCCCACTCCCTCCCTCACCGCAGAGGCCTTGATCTGCGCCCCCTCTTCTTCCACCACAACAGACTTACCAGCTGGACACTGATCTTCAAACTGCCAGGCTGCGTATCGGAAATCGATTGGTATCGGCCGATATGCCTCCTAAAAAATTGGCTATTGGTGCATGCCTAGACAAAACCCATTTTTTAACAAAAGATTGGCAACCCTGGTTATATTGTTCAATAAATGTGCAGATGAAATGAACCACCAGGTTGTAACTCTACTTTTTTTGGTTTATTCCTAATTAAGACAAAGTGGGTCTCTACACGAGATGCTTTACTGCACACTAGAATAATCTAATGTGTAGTAAAGTGCCACTCTCTATACATGCACAGCAATTACTGCACAGTATATTGGTTTAATATGCAATTTTCTAGTACCTGTAAACAGGTACTAGAAAAATGGTGTATTAACTAATGTACCATACTGTACATGTAGACAGTTCTCCCAGCCATATGGAGATTGGGACAGGTCCCAATTTCTATGTGGCTGGGAGGCAGATGCCTGCCCAGCAGGGACAGCTCCCTCCACACCAGCTAGACTGATCATCCCCCAGTTAGGATGGAGCTGCCCACTGAGCTGAGACTAGGGTGGTTTTGTTTTACACTGGATCATCCTATTTTAAAACCCTTTGACCCCTGTCTATTTCTAAATGAGGAACGGACTGCAAAAAGTCCTGTTTTTCAGTTCATTGGTAGAAATACATCAGTCATTTGTCCTTGCGATTCTATTGGCTATGCCAATAGAAGTAGGTGGTATGCATCCAGGAGGAGCAGGGTTCGAGCCAGCCAGGGAGGAAAGGAAGATGGGAGGGTGTGGCTTTTTGTGGTAGCCTCACCCCTTGCTGCTGATTGGCTAAGGGACCTGGTGGCCTCACCCCTCACTGCTGATTGACTAAGGTGGCGGTGGACCCACCCCCATCGCTGATTGGCTGAGGGGGCCAATGATCTCTTCCCCCTCTCAAGGGGATATCCTTTATTCTGCGGATCTGTCAGTGGCCACCCTAGCTGGGACAGCTCTACCCCCACCCTCTGGAGCTCAGGGCTAAGTCCCTGTGCCCCTTGCCAGCCTGGAGCTGGCACTGAGGGATGCCTGGGTCTTCCCCTGGCTGCTGCAGGGGAGCAGAGCAGGCCTGGAGCAGCCCTGGATTGGGCTGCTCCTGTCAGGCTCAATTAGCTCCCGATGAGGGCACACGTATCAGTGTATGCTGCGAAACACTTTAATGAGTCTGAATTTTCTGTGCAGAAAATTCAGGCACAGTAATTGCACATGTGGATGTGCCCAGTAAGTCTTACTGGAGCTCTTAGGATCAAAGCAGAGTGTAATATTTTATCTCAGTATCATCACGATTCCAAAATTTCCTTTCATAATCATAGTAAATTAAGAAATTAGTTTCTTCTAGTCCTCTGTCAATTAAAGTGAGCTACAAACTAAGTACTTAGTGAAGAAAATGTCAAATGTTATCATTACTTTATGTGAAGAATATTTAAGTTAAAATCTGATGTTGGTCAGGCAGAGGGTCTTTATAGGCCTGAAAGGCCCTTGGCATAATGAAGTAACACAAATTCTTTTTACAAGATCTAGGAATAGAAAGAAAAATGATAAATTACTTTTATGCACTCCAAAAATGACATACCCTGGACAGTTAGTAGATCAGTATTATTCCTTCTCCCTTCCTTTAAACAACTACTCCAACAGACCCTATATCTGAATAGTGTCATCATCATGCAGAGTAAACTGTATTATTTGACACCCTTTCAAAGGACGTATACAATTGTTCAGACAGCAGTTAGGACACACCTGTTCTCCCTGTTGTTGAGGACTAGAGGTGGTAGGCTGTTGTGACTGCTGCTGTGGAGAAAACTGTGATAGCTGCTGTTGCTGCTGCTGCTGGAGTGGGTTGAAAATAAGTGAGCCACCTGGAAGCTGTTAAAGATTAAAAGAAAAGGCATAATTCAAACACTGACAATCTTGATATTCTCTCTGAATGAAGACAAATATAGATATAGGCATCATGTACTATTTGTAGATACTAAAGAATAAACAATAATGAATCCTGTGTACAAATTGCTACTGCTTTATTTTAGACAGGAATGTGTGTGTTCATTCTACCATTTAAATAAAATCAGGCAGGTTTTACATATCTCTAAAAATGTGGTGTAACAAATACACTTAAAATTGAAATATTTTATTAATTTCATGTTTAAAACAGTATATTTCATGTGGCTATGGCTTTCCTATGAGTAATCTATAACATTTGATACAAGAAGTATTAATAATATATGGGGCCCGATATTTTTCAATTATATAATTTTACACGATTTAGTATAGTGACTTCAACCAAGTTATGCTTGAATTATACTAATTTGAGAGGAGATTCAAAACCATAACCTAAGATTAGATTGGGAGTATTGGAAATATAAGCATTTTACCAATATTCTGATAACTTTGTATCCATATGTACACACACACACTTCGGCATTTACAATTAAACTCCTAAGAAAGACAAGAAATGTAAAAAAATAGCATTCCAAAAAGTAGCCTCTGTTTTCATGGTTTTTGTGGATTGGTTTTACTGCAGGTACAAAGTTTCATATGGTTTGTAATTTAGGTATTACAGCAGAAGAGCAGTAAGCTACAAAACTAATTAAAATGGGAAGAGTAAATATATCCCATATGAAATTGTTAATATTATGTTCAGACACTCGACTTCTGCACATGCAAAGTGCACTGCATATAACTGTGCAACTATATAATAATACTTTTTAAAAAATTTAACTTATTGGACCAGACTCCTCTGGTTTGCTAACTCTACTGCACTAAGTGGCACAAAGTGGTCTTAAAATGGGTACCAGAGTCAGTGAAAAATTCATATACATGGGGGAAATTCTGGGGCAGAAGCCACGCCACCATGTTCCTGGTGTGGAAAGAGTACCGGATTAGAAAAAGAAGCAACCTAGAGGTGATGGGAGTGTGTGTGTGGGTGGGTGTATGAGCATGTGCATGCATGCGTTCACGTGTTGGACCATGTGACTTAGGATGTGGGAACCAGAATTAGCCCCCTGATGGCCCTTCCTCTTTGCATCTAACTTGAGCTCTGGATTTCTATTTTTTGTTTAAAATAAAGTATCTAGTTATTCAGGGGCTGCCAACCCCTTGCTTGGATGAACTTCCACTCTTGCACAGTTTGTTAGTTCTGCTAGCTGAGCTTGTAAGTCCCCTGAACCAACTGCACTAAGATGTGTGAGCACTGCAACTTCCTTAGTACTGCATCTGTAAGTGGAAGAAAGATTTCTACCCCATTGTTTATTTTGCAATTTTCCTAGAGTCATAATTTTAAAAAAAGCATTTTCAATTAAAGGAAAGGTGAATTCTTAAAAAAATAGAAGCCTTTGTTATTGTACTTAGACACTTGGCTTCCTCTTTCCAGCATTCTTATAGTTTGCTTTGTCATTAAAAATACCTGATTTGTTGTTAATTAAAGAAGCAGCCTCTGGTTTCATGTTTTTTGTGGACTGGTTTTATTGATTTTTGAGGCACCCGTTTTATTAGCATATCCAACTGTTTGTGTTAAATATTCAAATTAAAAGATGATACGCTGCACTAAATGGCCTATCTCTGAACCACTGATTCCATGATACTGGGGGTCTCTGTGACCAAAACCACTAATCAACATATATATATATAGAATAATATGCAGAATTATTTATATTAGCATGTTCAGTTACCTGTAGTAGATTTAAAGGCCGAAGACTGGAAGTATTTTTTAAACCAAAAGTGCTGCCTGTTAAAAACAAGTCTTTTGATTAATAGTCATTCATTACTTAGTTACATACATTAAATATAACAAGCTAACTGAATTATTTCTGAACATTCAAACCTACAAAATGGCAAGATTAGAGTGTTTCATTTTCCCCACAGAACTGAACATTTCATAGTTCTCCCCATTTTGAGACATGACTAAATAGAAAAAAAATAGCGTTAAACCTGATATCGTGAAAACACTGTAAATACTTTATGGGTATTTACATGTCACCAAATGCAGCACACGGTTAGATTTTGCTGCTACGTTGCCATAGAGGTGTGCTATACTGGGGGAGCATGCCACTACGGCAATGTAGCTGGCTATCACATGTAGATTCACGTGATCACTACATTGCCGTAGCACACCATACAGCAACTTAGTACATTGCTACGTCACCGTAGGGCAATGTGCACGCATGCCCTATATGAACAACAGAAGAAAGAATGTAGACAGTATCAGTGTATGTTCTGCAGTTCTTCCTGTGTTTTAAATACCATTCCAGTTTGCACAGAACTTACCAAAATGTCTGAAGTCCCACTGAAACAGCAACTACTGATAGCTACTTTAGAGAGGGGAAATATTAAAATACTGCAAATTATAATGCTTTTTTTGAGGATACGAAGTTCAAATGCACTTTCAATAGGAAAGATTTTTATATTATTTTTGATACTGTCCCACACAAAATTCTTATATAGGCAAACCAAGAAAATATGGTCTATATGAAATCAGTATATGGTAGATACTTTAAGGTTCAAAAACCAGAGTCAAAGTGATTACCAATGGTTTGCTTTGAAACTGGGAAGGTATTTCAAATATAATATTGCAGGGGTCTGACCCAGACCCACTTCTCTGCAACTGTTTCATAAAAAAATTACTTGGACAACAGATTTGTGAGGACACTGATGGATAATGCCATGCCAGGAGAGACTGAAAGCACTTTGGGAGACTGTACTGAGTTCTGTTCCAGTCTTGATAACTGAAGAAAAGATCCCAAATCATTAAGAGAGACAGTGCAAAGTAATACAAATCAAATAAACAGATATAAGATGGTGAATATTTGGTTAGGCAGCAACAAATCTCTAGGGGTTAACAGCAGGTCACAAACTAAACCTGAGTCATCACTGTGATGCTTTTGTAAAAAAAGGCAGAACTCATTTTGGGATGTTTTGATAGGAGTGTGGTATGTAAGATGCAGGATTTGTCTTGCTGTACTCAATGCTGGTGAAGCCTCAATTGGAGCACCATGTCCAGTTTTAGGCAGCCCACTTTAACAAAGATGTGGCCAAATTAGATATGGTACAGAGGTAAGCAATGAGAATGAAAAGAGGTTTGGAAAATATAATCTGTGAGGAAAAGTTGAATGAACTGGGTTTAGTTCAAAAGACAGGACACGGTAGGGCGCTTTGACAAGACAAGAGAAAAGGGGTTTAACTTGGAGCAAGGCAGATTTCAGTTAGACATGAGGAAAAACTTTCCAAGTGTAAGGCAGCAGAGCACTGGAACAGGCTTGCTAGGGAAGCTGTAGACTCCTGTTCAGTGGAACTTTAAAAAAAAAAAGTTTGGCCAATGTCTGCTTAGGGATGACCTATGTATATGTAAACCTGCCTCGGTGTAGATGATTGGACTAAATCTCTGGATGCCCCTTTTAGCCAGACATTTCTATGACCCTGAGATCAAACAGATATTTTCAAACAAAACGGTTTTGTTTTATCTTGTGAATAAAAGGTTCAGACACTAAAAATTCAGGGGATGCTTTAATGCAGGGTTTCGCAGCCTATGGCCAGCAGGGTGGACTCAGTCCACAGAGCCATTATATCTGGCCTATGGACATGGGGCTTTGGAGGCATTCAGTGGCAGGAAGTTTGGCTGTGGTCACTTTCCCCATGCTGCAGCAGGAAGAAGCAGTGACTGCAGGATCTCTCCAAATGCTGCTGCAACTAGATGTGGCGGCAGCAGCAGTGGCCATGTCCCAGTGTCCACTTGCCTGCCTGCCTCAAACCCGAGCTGGATCCTTCAGGCCTGCAGCCTGAAAAGGTTGCCAACTACTGCTCTAATGAATAGCAAAGCATGTTGATTTTTACAGTAATCTTTTATGGCACCACTGAGCTAACGTATTATAATGAGACAATGCACAGTGAAAGATTCAAAACCTTAGGAAGCCAAGTGTGGATCCTCTTCCTTACATTTTGGGATGCCTTTTCATTTAGTAGTCATGACCACTATAGTTGCTGTTGAGATTGGAAAGCTGACTTCATAAACTCTCTTGCTAGGTGTTAAACATGCATAACCAGGCATACATTTCCCTAGCCTACACTTCCAAGATTACCTGACCTAAGGAATAAGAATATAGATATAATTCCCAAATCCAAGTCACTGAATGTCAGGTCTGTCCATCCACTGCTCCAACCAAATACATGTGTCCACTGTTTTCATATTATGGTTTCACAGCTGTCGCTACCTAATTGATTCATACTAACCTGCTTGAGAGGCAGACTGCATTGCAGCTGGCAGTGCATTTGGTACCAGACCTCCTGATGGTAATATGCCACTCAGATTTATACCTGCAGGGGCTATGGCACCAGTATTACATCCCAGCATGGTGTTTGAGCCACTCATCAATGTCTGTGCTCCGCTGCAGAATAGGAAAGAACACACATCAAATCCAAGTGACACAAAGGAGAATGCAATCCACCTTGTGACAAAAGAGCTCAACTTAACAGTTCACTCTAAGTGAGCTAGCATTCAAAATGACTGATCAGAATTACATTAATAACCATTCTGTTTAGTAACCCATCAAAAACTACATGACATTTACACTTTAAAAATAAAATTAAATGAAATTCATTGTTTAGTGTGAAATATGGCATAATACCCAGATATAAAGGCACCTTAAAATACATAAGGGCCATTCTGAAGTGCTCAAGGCTTGAAGAACACGTGTCCAGGATATACTCCTGTTCTTTGCACACAACTTTCACTGATATTGATGTTCAAGGGGAGAATAAAAAGTGCATGTTCTTTTACTGTTTGCATTGTCTCTTAAGAGTAACACAACCACAAGCAAAGCTTTACTGTCCTAACACATAAAAAGAGCAAGCTCATGTTTTCCTTTAGTCAGTTTAATGTGTTTGTAGTAATCCTAGTTGTTGCTAAATAGTTTGGGTGGAAAATCCATATTCCTGAAACTGCAATGACACATTCTGAGCATATTTAAAACTTAGAAATATAAAAATGTTTACTGGAATTAGCCATAAATCAGATACAACTTTTTACATATTTTATATAGACAGAAAATGAATGCCTTTTACTCATATTTTTTTACTCAGAATTTTGTTTCATTTTTCTTTTTGTGCTGTTTGCATAGTTCATGTTTTCTCACATAATGATGGATAAAAAGACAATTTTCACATGAGGAAGTATAAAAACAAAACCTTAAGAGCTACAATTTTATCAGCACTATTGTAATTAAACAGTGCATCTAAAAAGTAGAGTTTACTCAAGAAAGGTCTTAATTTTGTTTTCCTTTTCCTTTGATATTCTAATAATAGGTTTATTATATTTTAAGAAACATAAAATTGTAGTTGTGGTAACTTCAGAGGTGAAATGATACAAAATCTCATTTAATGAATATTCCTGTAAATTAACATAAAATATGTTACCAAATCATTGTAATAAACAGAACTCACCAAACAGAGCCCACTACATTGATGAAGTTAAGTCCTGCAGGGTTTGCCATGACCTGGGTGGAGGCTGTTCCTGTAGTAATGGATGTTACCATGGTGGAAAGAGGAATGGTCATTACAGGCAATGCCTGGCTCAGTGACATTTGCTGCTGAGCAAACGGGGTTAACAAAGTGGGCTGAGGGGTGAAGCCTGAATCTTGGGGAGTAGGGGTGGCAGAAGGGGTAATAGGAGTTGAGCTCTGAGCATCAGGAGGGTGTGGGGTCGATGAAGGGGTGTTGGTTGGAGTAGGAGTAGATGGTTTAGGAGTTCCAGACCCTGCTCATTGAGAAAAATAAAAAGCGCTAGTTTGTTATAAAAGGCCAGCCAGTCCTTTTGTAAAATAAGGTTAATGGAATCTTATTTAGCACTGACAATTTGTTCCATTTTTTTAAACTGCAAGTGTTAATTTCTACACATGACACATGAGTGTGGCAGCACTTGCTCATTATTAAGGATGCAGTATATCACACAGAAACCCCATCGCCATGCTTAACTCTTCAAATAGGACACAAATTTGTATTTTCCATTAAAGTTTTGAAAATTTACCGAACACTAAATCATGACACTATTGGAAATATTTAAGTCAAGATAGAGAAATTTTTCCAAGTGACCATTTTAACCCAATTAATTGTTACAATGTCAAACATGTATGTACTACCTGCATAATAGCACCATGTCAAAAACATATCATGGAAAGCAACAGATTCGACAAAGAACAGATACTATTTTCAGGAATCAAATGGGGTCAATGGCTACCACCTAAATTTTGTCAAGTAGATACCTAAAACTAATTTGTCAGATTTTAGTCTAATCAAAAAAAGAGAAAACAAACTCAATGCTTTTGCAGGAGATAATACTGCATCTTTAAAAATTACTGTGTAATTCCTTTGGTTTAAATGTAGAATGTATAGCTAAACTTGTTGTGAATGCAGTATGCACAGTTTATCAATAGAAGAAACAAAAAAAAACCAGAAAAAAACCCAAAAGCTCTTGAGGTGTGTTCTTTTTTTAGCTTTCATGTCCTGCAGAAAGAAAGGAAAGAAATGTGAATGTCCAGATGCTGTGACCAGAGCCTTATTTATAGTAACAACTGTGCACAGTAGATTTACATACTCCATATCAGCAACATAAAAGGTGTGTATAAAACTGATAAAAAAATTATAAAAGTTTTCTTATGTTTTTCTTTGTGCAAAACAAGAAGGCAGAAAAATTACACCTTTTGAGCTATCCGTATTTACAACTAATGCAAAAACCACATTATAATACTGTGCAGCATACTGAATGCTCAGTATACAATTATTAATAAAAACCCCGTGAAAAACTATAGCTGTGGTTTCTCTCCCTGTACAAATCTTTTCATGAAATGTCTTGAGACGCACAAGTATTTTTAAAATTGTTCATGATCTATGCCTGTAATTATATTCTGTCATTGTTAAAAATCAAACATGGATGTCACTCATTTAGAAAACTACATTTTAGCACCATATATTATGGTGCTATAATCATCAGCAGCATCATCACCACCACCACCACACTTGTAATCAGCAATGATTTGTAAAACAGTGTAGGAGTGTTTTAAAAAATCATCTTAGAGTTTATTGTATCACCACCTTGGGACTGATCAGGTTATATACATACACAGAGATACAACTGCACCAGCTCCTATGACATTTAAAAAAAACAGATGCTTAAAGTATGTAAATGCAAATTGATCTAATGTACTATTTTTACACTGGAGGAAAGAACTACACTTTGGAATTTTATCTTGTCACATTAGCTATCAGGCTTTTATAAAAGAGAAAATCATACTGGTTGCATAAAATGTATTAAAACGTATACACAAAGGGTGCATACATATATATATATACAGAAAAACAAACACAATTACAATAAACAGAAAGTACATACAATCAACAAGAGACCTGCCTGAAGCTCTGCACAACTTATACAGTTTAGAGTACACTGTACATTTAAGTTTCACCATTCCATGGGTTAAGAAGTTATCTCAAGAAGCATTTATGCAAAAGTCTAAGATTTAATGGAGAATTTAGGTCGTGACTCACTTTGTGAAGAACTTGCAGGAGACATGGCAGCTGGAGAAAGCATGCTAACTTGACTAAGATCCATAGATTGTTTCCGAGAGAGACTGGGAGGCTTAGAAGGAGGAAGAGGAGGAGGAGGAGTTGGGGACTTTAGGTGGCCACTTGACTGCTGTGGACTAAAAATATTACCTGAAAAAGCACAATTTGCATGTGTTACAGTTCTATGGAGAGAGGCTAATTAGAACATTATACAAATCTTAGAACAATGCTTTCTAATCAAAAAGCAGTAAAAGCAGCTTTGAAAATACCCCATCAATTACAGGAAGACGATGTTTCGCTTTTTTAACTAAGATTTTGCTGAAGTAATGAAATCTCATACTTTAAAAGAGGGGAAACACAAAGACCAAAAGTCAGGGGCTAAAAGCTAAAAAATATTTACCTGAAGAGCTACTTCCTGAACTTGAAGGTAATTTGATCGGGGGAGGTCGGTGCTTCACACCCTTTCCCAATACTGAAGACTGAACAGAACCTGACAAACTTTCTGGCTGCTAGGAGTAAAAAAGAAATTCAGCAAGTATCAGCACAATCTGAGATTGCATATATTTGACAAAAATAATTAAATCAGTACACTTGTTAGAAGTCTCAAGATCATGACAAAAGAGGCAGTTCTTCAGGATACAGTCTTGTTTTAGGGTCAGACATTAAAGCATGAGTTTTGAGGCTCTGCAGATAAAGTTTTCAAGCACAAAAGGCCTCCAAGACTGGGGTCAAAAGTAAAACAAAGTTAAAAAGAATTGGACATTTTATTCCTTTCTTTTTAGTCTTAAATTTGCTCTTTGCTACTTCTCATAAGTGCAAAAACTGCAGTTATGCTCTTGCAAGAAAGGAAAACTTGCTTTTACCTCTAAAATTATTTCATTTTTTTCATCTGTCAATCCTGATCCCCTCTGGACTTGCGGTACAGAGCCAGATTTCTTGATTTTGGGTATAGGACCCAAAATTCTTTGGTGAATTCTGGCTTGATAAGAGTATTTCCATTAATTCATCAATCAGGATTTCACTATCATATTTGAAAGAAAGATGGTCTGTCTTTTGTTTCATAAAATACTCTGAGTTTCTTTTTATGATGAATTAATGAAGTTGAAATACTGCCTTACATTTATTTATATGTATAGTTCTCCTTTACAGTTGGCAAGGTTTCTAGAAGTCAGCTGTAAATGCCATTAAAAACAAACCCTACTAGTTCCAATTGTTTTAGGGAAAATAAATTTACAGGCATAGCTAAATACTTATTTTACTTGCATGAAGTATGCATTCAGAATATAAGTTATATCATAAACAAAATGTCTCTTTTTTCAAATTCTCAACAATCCTAAGACTCACAGAATGGAATGCCAGATAACTTTTTTTTTTAAGTTCCATTTACCTTTTACTTGTTTCCATTATAATTAATTACAATTCTTTTCCTCATTTTTAAGGAAGTCAAAAGAAAATTAAATCTACCTTCTTCAGTAATGACACAAAACAACTTGTGAGCTGTGACAATAAAATGAACCCAACATTCAGGATTGTAAAGCAATACAAATATTTGCAGTTATAAACATAAAAACCTTCGAATAACATGTCCACCATGTCTCAAAATGTTCTGACAAAAATCAACTTATAAAAGTTTTTCATAAAAAAATTGTAGAAGACCCCCTTGAAAGTTTTTGAGCTGATTTATTGTTCATTTGAAGTTCTTTTCAAACTGAACAGACATGCTGAGAGCTCATGCTTCACTCTTTTTGTCTATATTACAAAGTAGGGGTGTGCAAAACAGGCTAGGCTGTATTCGATTCAGATTTGGCCCAAATTGGTGACAGTGATTCAATTAGTTGATTTGGATCACTGTTTTGATTTGATTCAACCGAATCCGAATCTGAAGCAGTGATTCGGCCATAGACACAGCTTTAAATGTTTTTTCTACAAATGTCAAGGTACCAGGCATGGCTCATGAATACTGCAATGGTGGGGCGGATGGAGCGTCCCACAGGAGCGCAGGGGGCCCCCCCGCATGCTCAGCAGCGAACCCTGAAGTGGACCCTGGTTCACTTCCAGGTTCGCCATCAAATGCACAGGGACCCCCCGGCGCAGAAATTGGCTGCGGGGGACCCCAGGTACCCCTCCAGACCCAGGAGGCACCTGTCGCTGAGCCAGGGGGCAGGGGAAGGTCCCCTGCACACTCCCCGGCAGATCTGGAAGTTGACTGGAAGTGCTTCTGGTCGACTTCTGGGTCTGCGGCCGAGCATGCTGGGGACCCCACCATGCTCCCATGAGATGCTCCATCCGCCCCAACATCTCAGCATTCATGAGCTGCCTGGTACTTGAGGTATGTAGAAAAAACATTTAAAGCTGTGGCTATGTCTAAATCACCGAATCTTTCCGAATCTCTCCAAAGGGGAGGGTTCCGATTTGATTCAGAGAGATTAAAGGGTCTCCTGATTTGATTTGGATTCAGAGATTTGGCCACCAAACTAGGCCAAATCTCCGCCAAATCGAATCAGCGACCGAAGCTATAGAGTACGCAATGCTGCAGGATCACAATTCATAGCACAGCTTAAAACCTTAAAGACTCTGGGAACCTAAAGACAGACACCGTACAGCCACATGTAGTCCCTCTATGGTATACAATTGTGTCAGAAGAAAAGTGTGGAAAGAGCACAAACACAGCTGTGTTGGCACAACCCCTGGTGTGGATGCAGCTTTGCTACTGGAAGGTGGCTTGTGTTGGCAGAGCTGCTCTTCAGGAAACCAAAATAAATCTAAGAAAAAAACCCCCTCCTTCAGCAGTCTATACTGTGTCTACGCCAGGGGGCTCTAGTGCTATAATTAAAGTATCAGCCCCTCTGTAATACAGAAAACCCACATCTTCTTCCTTAAAAAAATCCCTCCAGACAGTGTTGAACGATAACACCAATATTAGCAGAAATTCTAAACGGCTAGCTGGCACAAAAAAAAGGAGGCCATTGGTATGCTGGGATCAATCTAAAACTCTCAGAGGATATAACCTAATGCTAGATTTTGGGCCGTCAGAACTACTGATATTCATAGTAGAGGTGCACTGATACATCGGTCCAATATTGGATCGGTATCGATATAAAGAAAATTGGCTGTATCAGAAACTGGCCTGAAGTGGTGGATAATTTGGCCGGTAAATGCTTGTGCATGTGTGCAGCCACAGCAAAGCACGCAGGCAGTGAGAAGCAGAGCCCAGCAATGTGCAGCTGGTAAGTCTGTTGTGGTGGAAAGGAAGGGGGGAGGGAAGGGGTGTGGGGGGTGCAGATCAATGGCTTTTGTGGTGAGGGAGTGGGCAGGGGCAGGCGCTGCCTAGCCGGGTGGATAATTTGGCCGGTAAATGCTTGTGCATGTGTGCAGCCACAGCAAAGCACGCAGGCAGTGAGAAGCAGAGCCCAGCAATGTGCAGCTGGTAAGTCTGTTGTGGTGGAAAGGAAGGGGGGAGGGAAGGGGTGTGGGGGGTGCAGATCAATGGCTTTTGTGGTGAGGGAGTGGGCAGGGGCAGGCGCTGCCTAGCCGGGGTGGGG